ACTGATTATAAATTGGAAATTCTAGAGTATTTATAAGAAAATAATATGGATTTTATCGAACAGAAAGATAAATTGGATGTTATAAATGTAGATGTTCAGGTAGTAAAAAAACCATCAAGACACGGTTCGTTATTACCCGATACTATACGTGCTATACTAGTTGGTCCCAGCGGTTCAGGAAAAACTAATATAATGTATAATCTGATCACACATGCAAACGGGTTAAGATTTGAAAATATTTATTTATACTCTAAAACCTCTAATCAGGAAAAATATGTTTTATTAAAAAAAATAATAGATGATATACAAGGTGCTAATTTTTTCCTATTTACAAGCGCTGATAAGGTTATAAAACCAAACTTAACCAAGAAAAATTCTATTATAATTTTTGATGATGTGATATGCGGTCCACAATCTGTAATCAGAGAATACTTTAGCATTGGTAGACATTCAGGTGCTAGCTCTGTATTTTATTTAGCACAGACATATTCTAAAATATCAAAACAGCTAGTAAGAGATAACACAAACTTTTTAATAATACTGAAACAAGATGATACAAATTTACGACATATATTCAACGATCATTCGTCTACAGATATGGATTTCTCAGAATTTCGAAAAATTTCCCATTTATGCTGGAATCATAACGATTATGGGTTTATGGTTATCGATAAAACTCGAGAAATGAATGAAGGAAGGTATAGATGTGGTTTTCATACATTCATTAAAATAAAATAATTTTATTAGTTTATATAAATATACCGTCACACAGTTATTATCTGCATAGTGTTATCAGTAGTCATACGATACAGGTATATTACATTTATTATTTACAATGAACAAAGAAAAAGTGTTGTTGGAAAATTTAATAACATCAAAAAAAAATATACAACGAAAAATAATGGAAATGAAACGTGGTGTTATAGATTCTGAAAACTATTTCCGTGAAGCATTTAAGCCGATAATTGAACCATTGAGTACACATGTGAAACAAAATGTAACATGTAACACACGGACAACTGAACTAGAAAATAAATCAGAAACCCCGTGCATTAGTGAAGAAGATAATGATGATGAATTAAATTCATCATATAACAATTTTTTAAATAATCGTCCTAAATCAGCACGTTATGATAAATCTTATGGTATGTATTATGATAAAGATAGTGATTCATATAAAATAGGAAAACATTCTGTTACTTTTAGTCACGGCAAATTACTGCTGCTTAATAAATACTACCAATTTACACCAGGACTATGGTCTTTATTATGTGAGAAGGAACCAAAAAATACAACTATAGCAGATATAGAATCTTATTACAATATTTTGAAAACTAGTGGAGTCCATTTAAAAGCAGATGGAAAACCTAGAACCTCGAGGTACCATAAATGGGTGACTGTTGTAAAACCACTGTATGATCGAATGAAAATGGAGGAAAAACAGTTTAACGAAGAAATAAGTAAAATTAATGAGAATACAACTCCTCGAATTAATTTAAAATCATTTGACAATCATTTATCTAGTTCAAGCGCTAAACGCAAAAAAATAACACAAGAATTTGAACCATTTGATTTTAATCCAGAAGCAAACAGTTCCATGTCTACAAATCCCGTAGTTGAAAAGATGTTTAATTTTACTTCATCACCAAAGACTATGAAAGGTTCTGGTTTATATAAAGATGTCTTACCTCAAACCCAATTAGTTTATTATGACGATCCGAATGAGCTAGTAACTAGATTAAATCTTTTGACATCATCACAAAGTGTTGGTAATACTGGTGTGAATAATGAAATAATATCTATTTTAGAAGAACTACGTGAGAGAAATATTATAGTATAATGACTACCTTAGAGAGTATAGCTAATGAGTTACATCGGCCAGCGAGAAAAATATTTCCTAGACGCAGTGTAGTAACGCGGTTTATTGATGACCTCTGGCAAGCTGATTTAATGGACATGCAATCTCATTCTAAGCAAAATTATGGATTTAAGTATATTTTAGTTGTCATAGATACATATAGTAAGTATGTATGGCTTGAGGCGTTGAAAAATAAAACATCGAAAGAATGTACAAAAGGTATGTTTAATATATTGAAAAAAGCTTATCCGAAATTATTACAGACAGATAATGGTACAGAATTTTACAATGCTCAATTTCAAGATTTAATGAAAAAATACAAAATTAAACATTACAGTTCATACAGTGTTATTAAATGTGCAATCGCGGAACGCGTGATCCAGAGTCTTAAAAATAATATATATAGACATTTTACTGCTACTGGTACATGGAATTGGTATAATACACTATCAAAAATCACACAAAATTATAATAATACAAAACATAGAACAATCAAATGTACACCGAATGAAGCTCGAATGGATACAAACAAAATTAAATTGAATACACAAATAAATGATACATTATATAATCCAAAATTTAAAATTAATGATAAAGTAAGAATATCTAAGTATAAACATATATTTAGTAAAGGATATACACCAAATTGGACAACGGAAATATTTACAGTTTCAAAAGTTTTACAGACAAATCCAGTAACTTATCAACTAAAGGATGAATCAGACAATATAATCTTAGGTGGTTTTTATGAACAGGAAATTAAATTAACTGATTTTCCAAACACCTTTCTCATTGAACGTATTGAAAAAAAAGTTGGGAATAAAATGCTTGTTAAATGGTTAGGTTTTGATTCAAGTCAAAATTCATGGATAACATCATCAGATATTTTAAAATAAAGATTTTTTTTATGTATAATATGTAATAATTTTATAATAAAATATATTTTTTTATTGAAGTCAAAATTAATTATTTCACATGATCTCCTAATCCTCAATAGTCTGTTTAGTTAACCTAATGTATTCACGATCGATATAAAAAGCACCATCTAGCGGAAAATTAATCAATGGAAATAAATAATACTTCTGTATTTATATCCTATAATTTTATTATAGTATTTATTTTATCTTTAACAATTATTTAATAAAAAAGTTTATATTCAACTTGTATAGTATGAAATCTATATTCTTAATCAAAAATGTTTTAGAGCATTTTTTTTTAATCTTCCAATTTCAATTAATTCTATTGATTCTGATGGTTGACGGTTTGAAATAATTTTCCTCATTCTTTCCGTAATACAACTGTAAAACATAAAATATATAAGCGGTAATGTTATAAATTATTATAATATCATATCGAACAACTCTATTTCAATTATATATATATATATAATATGTAGTTTTTTTTCTTATTTAATAATATTCTTCTTTAATATAGTATGTGGTAATAATATAGTATTAATTAATATTTTTTTATATTAAGGGGTCTCTATAGACAACTTCTTATACATTTATACATCCGTTAGTATAATATTTATTCTGTTTTTAGCTAAATGTAATCTTTATACATTTGTATTATTATTATTATTTTGTATAGCTTAGCTAACCAGTCATCTAATATGTTATTAACATAATATTTAATTAAAGTTTCTTAAGTTTTAAAACTTAAATAAAACTGAGATAATATCAGTGATTGATTTTTGAATACACTGTATAATATAATTCACTTTTTATTCAATTAACTTTTTTTTGTTTAGCGACATGTGTGAAAAATATAAATATAAATAAAGTATTTTATTATTTTTTCAAGTAAAAGAGTATGTAATCTTTTTTGGTTTTTAATTCATATTTTTTTTATTTTTCTCAAATATTTTGCTCAACTGATATTGTGTTTTGAATAGTCTGTATTTAATTCATCACGTTAAAGCTATCGGATAACTGAATTTAGATTTGCTAAGAATGTTAACGAGCTATTTTAGCGACACATGAAACGATTGAGTAAACAATCGTAACATGGGGCCTTTGGAAAGACCACTGGAACCTTGCCATTTGTGCGCTAAACCCATTGTATTTTATAGTAAATCGTTATCTTTGGAAGGTATTTTCTATGAATTTACGAATATACAATCTATTATGAAAACAAATTCAATGATGATAAAACAAGGTTGAATATATTTATATATAATATTATTTTTATCTATATATTTATTTGTGTGTGCGTACGTGTGTGAACTCACTCAGTGATTATGTTCATGTGACCAGATATTGTTAATAACAGCAATAACACTATGTGACTATCATACTTTCATCATCCGTGATCCAAATGTGCGTAAATAAGTAATTTGCTTACTCTATAACGTAAACATGTTTATAAATATCTTCAAAATCTGAAATGTTTGTATAATCATGAGATTGAGAAACTATTACTGAAATCAAACTATGTTTATAATAATTATATTTACCTGAATTATAAATGGAATGAATTATACGAATCATATCTATCTCTGTCGGTTTTATCTTGTATGAGTAAAATGGTACATTTATTTCAGGATATGGTGTATTAAAATTAATAATAGTCAAATATGTACAACATTTCGCACACCGACTAAATTGACTATATGTTTGCAGACCTTTAATAGTCTGAAATTGACGGTGAAATCCGTTTAAATGGATTTGACAATTATTGTTTTCATTATCAATTCGTAAACAAGACAAGGAACAATAGTGTGTCGGTACTGATCTTAGGTTTATACTTAAATAAATTTCTTTAAGTATAAAATTAGAATTATTTAACTTGAATAACTCTAATATTTCCTGTTCATCATATGCAAATGAATATGTCATACATCGGACCGTTTCATATGAAATAATTTGTTTCTGAACATTCGGATCTACATCATTTGGAATAGTCATCCTTCTAATTTTTAGAAAAAAAATATTTAGATTAAATCAGCTAGCATTGGCTATAATAATTTATCACTGACTAAAATGGTTATATTATTTTATAAATTGTAAATATCAAGTTAATTTAAAAAAAAATATATATTATTTATACTATAATTATTATGCTAATATATATATATATAAATATTAAAAAAAAATTTGAGTTATAAGACCTTATACGCTTATGCTACAATATAAATATTTTATTCTATATTTTCTAACTGTCTATACAAGCTGTTTAAATTATCACGTATATTAAGTTCACATCGGTACCCTACATATTGTGAATGTTTAAATTCATTTGTTAGTTGTTCTTTTTGTTTTAGCAGTCTTTTAATTTGTTGATTAATTAATCTAATTTTTTCTTTATATGTTTCTTCTTCTTCTAATTCATTGTTATCATTGACTTCCCTCAGTTCGTAAATGACTTCTATTTGACGTTTAATTGATGCAGATGATTCCATTTTATTGTTAGATATTTTACTTTTTTGAAACTGCAAAATAGTACACACTTACTTATATTTACAAATAATTAAATTAATTTATAATAATATAAATCTATATAAAATATATTGTACATCTATTCAATGTATTTAGGTTTTAAGCAATTCTAAGTATATTTCCAGATATTATAATTATAAGTTATGTCATAATATTATAATATAAATACTATAAGATTGGTATAGAATATAAGCATAAATACTATCAACAAATTAAAATAAATTATGGTTATACATCATATATAAATATTAGCTTGTGATTATTATGCTAAGTTTACAAAATTAATAAATAAAACATTTTTTAGAATGGTTAATATATTAATTATAAATAGTACAATTAAAAAAAATTGAAAAAATAATGTAGACAAAAAAACTTTTAGTTTAGAATGTTTATTTATTTACATGTCACTATCATCTAACTATTTTTTAAACATAAACATAATAATATATACAATACTACATATAATATAATCTAATTTTGATTTCAACAGATTGAACTCAACTGCTGTAGCTGATCATTAAGATTTTCTAACTGCATATTAAAATTATTTACACATTTCCAATAGTCGGTACAGCTAGAGCGATAAAATGTAATGATCTTTTCTTTTTCTTCTTTTTAAAAAAACAATTTTTCTTTTAAATAAATTAATACATTCAGAACATATTTACAAGACTTTAAAAATAAAAAAGCAGTTTTGAGTCAAAAATTAATGATTAATAAACAAATGATTGATAAACTATTAACCACTTTTCATATAATTGTATTGAGCATATAATTTAGATAATCCTTTTTGAATATTTTTTTCATTTTTCTTAGCAATATATAACGAATGTAAATAGTCATTTATAATCTTATTTTTTTCATTCATTAATTTTTTTGGTTTTAAAACCGCTTTTTTATTTTTATATCAATATTTTTTTTTTTTTTTAAATTCTACTGCTTTTTCATCCATTGCTCGGTCATTATTCTCGACCTCTCGAATAACATCGTTAATTTTATCCATAATAAATGATTTTGATTCCATTTTTTTAATAAAAAAATAAAATAGCATATATTGACAGTAGTAAATAATACTAATAATAATAGACTAGTTTATGTATTGGAATATAAGCATAAATACGTACTATCAACAAATTAAAATAAATTATGGTTATACATCATCTATAAATATTAGCTTATGATTATTATGCCAAGTTTACAAAATTAATAAATAAAACATTTTTTAGAATTGTTGGTATATTAATTATAAATAGTACAATTAAAAAAAAAATTGAAAAATAATGTAAACAAAAAAACTTTTAGTTTAGAATGTTTATTTATTTACATGTGACTATCATCTAACTATTTTTTAAACATAAACATAATAATATATACAATACTACATATAATATAGGTAATCTAATTTTGATTTCAACAGATTGTACTCAACTGTTGTAGCTGATCATTAAGATTTTCTAACTGCATATTAAAATTATTTACACATAACCAATAGTCGGTACAGCTAGAGCGATAAAATGTAATGATCTTTTCTTTTTCTTCTTTAAAAAAAAGCAATTTTTCTTTTAATATAAATTTTCGATTGTTAACATTGAGAGAAGAAGAAGCACTTGTTCTAATTAAAAACAATTGGTATTTTATATTTTTACAATTTTTTTTATTTTGTTTAAGTCTGAATCTTCTAGTGATATGGTCTTTTTTATCTGATTCTGTATAACTTTCAATCAATTTTTGATAATAGTCTATTTCGTTTAAAATATTATTGTAAGAATTCATCATTTGAAAACGTTTTTGTGTAAATATATTAGAACTAATATAAATTATAAAAATATAGAAAGATGTTTAAAAAAAATCTGATAATTAAAATGATTTATATCAACCAGCATTGTGTATATTTAATGTTAGCTAAGATGGTTGTATTTTATATATTATAATAATCAAGTTTTTATATTATGCTATTCTATAATTATAATCATATACATACTGTATAAACTTATTTTTTTTTAACTTAAACTTAATAACTTTTTAACCATTTATAATATACATTATAATAAATATAAATATTTTAATCAGTCAACCTTCTAAATTTTAAAAAAAACATTTTAATAAAATAAATAAATTATAAATACTTTGTACATTTAATATTGATATTTCTGATAAAACTATTGAATATCAATCCGTTATAATCACTTACCTAAACGTTTATGCTATGTTATGTTTTTACTATCGTGTATTATTTTTTCGTTTTTAAAAACTAGTAAAGATGTAAAGAGTTTTAGATGGTTTTTTAAAAAAAATATATATAAATAATGAAATAGGTAGATGCTTACGTAGATAGCTGTTCGGTTAAAGTATTTTCCAATGTTAATGATGCCGGTACTGGACTGGTAAACTATGCAGGATTGAAGTATTTTCAATGTTCGATGGTAAATTCCTGTTGATGATGTCGATGGTAGACTGTTATACTTTATAGGATTGAAGTATTTTCAATGTTCGATGGCGAATGTCTGTTCCTTGTTGTTGCTGGTGGAGAACACAAGCTGAACTGATATCGTTTGAGTGGCAAATTCTGGGTTATATAGTCGAGAATCATCTCCTACTTTTCTAGTTGTCGTTTAAAAATCACATTATATTCAAAGAAATCGAAAAACGTGTTAATGTAATATTAATTTAAAAAACAACTAAGTTATTTTGTAGTAATAGTAATTATAATATATAATGTATGTATTGGTGTTGACCGTCGTCGTCCGGGATATTCATTTAAAAATAGCAAGGTTAAATTTTGGGGTGTTGGCGGAATAAAAACTAGTATTAATAGGAGGTCATATTATGACCGTTGGTGGAATAAAACTTATATTAATAAGAGGTCGAATTAAGGGCGTTGGCCGGTTTAATATATCCGATAGCATTGCTTTAAATATTTCACATTTCAAAGTTACTATGGTAGTGGAAACATTACAGTATATAAGGCTAGCGTATCGACAGCAATATTACAGTCAACATCCAACAACTGGAACTTCGCAGTCAACATCCAGCAACTAGAACTTCTTCGCCCTCTTCATCAATTCATCATTCAATAATATTCAACGATGTCTTACAGAACTTCGATCGTCGATTCTGGATCAGAGGTTAGTAAATGAATTACTTTAATAACTAAAGCAAATTGTAAGCCAGTCGTAAAACTACTCAACGCTATGGTTATAATTCCAATCTATCGAACGGTATTTATATGACAATAGTGTAATAGTCAGAGTATTCCGGCATTGCACTGATCATACATTCGTCTCAGTTAATGGGGCAATAGTTAGAGTATTCTGGCATTGTACCGACTGACATACCGTTCGATAGATTCAATTCTCAGTCGTGCAATTCTGTGGTAAACCACTCATACATTTATGAAAAAAAACAATCTGTCAATATAGCAAATTTAATACTATAAGTTTTTTTATAGTACGAATTTAACGGATCTGTAGACATGAAAATGAAACCTTCCACTTTAAAGCAAACTAAAACAGCTCTCAAAAGAGGGGCTGAAAAAGTGATTGACAAGAGAAATAACAAAAAGATTAAACAGGCAAAAACAGTAAGATAAATAATTATTTATAATCTTAATACTTTTATCTAATATTCTACGGTGATGAATTATAGCATGAATTTATTTATTTATTTTTTTTAGAGTTCATCTTACAGGGAAATCTTTGAGGAGAAATTGCAGACTGAAGATTTCGATGAAGAAATCATCAATTCGGTAACTTTCCGGCAGGGAGATGGTTTGGCTACCATCAAAAGTCAGTTTAATCCAGAAGAGAAGGCGACCGACTACTGGACAATAACACACTATAAGTGTAAGAACATAAACAAAGTTCCATCAAAGGAGAGGTAAATACTAGACTTTGGTTTACTTTTTAATAAAAAAAACTATTGCTTATAATAAAAAATAAATCAACTGTTTCTATTCACTGTTCACTGAATAATTAATTTATGTTGCAGGTGGCGTCACTCTGAGGCATCTGTTAAGATAACGACTTCAGATAAATCAAAAGACCAGACTTTAAATACAAGTTTGAATGAGACCATGCAGGTCATCTTCGACGTGATTTTGAAGGATCCAGAACGTCGAACGATAAAAAGTAATTTAGCATTATGAGTGTAAATATTTTTTATTTAATAAATAAAACATTACATAAATATAAATGAATTTGTATTATATTACACTATTAAGTCCTGTAAAATCATGTCAGACATTGCGTTAAAATGAAATTGTAATATTTCGTACAAAAATGAAGTGTCTTCGTTTTGTAGATGAGAATAATAATTAAAATCATAGTTTTGTATATACTGATTTGTGAATTCGTTCCTCTGGCAACTGATGGGCAAACCTCGGACATCGTTTTTAATCAGTTCATAAGCTGCATCAAATGTTGCTTGAAAACTCTGAAGACGTTTCTGTTTTTCTGCGATATAAAGGTCTACACAATGCTGAAGTTGTTTAAGTCTACAGAAATCTATATGTGAGAGTGTAATATAATCATCATTTATATGTAAGGTTATTGAACTCTGCTTCACATTAATTGAATATGTGAAATTCTCGGTGATTCTTACACGTCTACACCTGGTATGTAAGTTGTTAGTAATTGAAGTGTAATTAGATTCAGACATAAGCGTACACCATTGCTCTAAATTTAATGTAATAATTTTTTTCGTTAACTTGCACTCTAATAACACAATAATCGAAATTTGTTTGCTGATTAATAGGCCGACTGTAACACTCTTCTTACCAAATGGACGTATGTCAAATACCGATTTTGATACAATTACCGGTAGACCCATAACGAATTAATGTTCTTTTTTTAAATAATTAAAAAACCTTTCAAACTATAAACGTAATTATTTTTTTAAAATTGATATAAAGTTTTTTTTTTAAATATTTAAAAAAATCTTTCAAACTATAAACGTAATTATTTTT